CAGCCCTCGACCGCGGGGATCCAGCGGAGGAAGGAGCAGCGCGGGGCGCACGCTTGGCACCATGACCCAGACACCCGCCTTCGACAAGCCCAAAGTGAGCGCGGGCCGGGGCTCGGGGTCCGGGTTCTGGCGCCTTGTCTGGCTGGAGGGCTTAGGGGCGTCCACAGAGCGCCATCAGCGGGCCCCTGCGGGTGCTTTCTTCCCTCAGCTCAGGCCCTCCTCCGCCTCTGGGCTAATTAGTGAGAGACAATGAGGAAGTGAGGGTCCTGAACCTGGAGGCATCCCTGGCTGGCCTCCGAGTTCTGCTTCTGCCGCTGACTTGCCTCCTTTGGGTCTCAGTTTTACCATCTGTCAAATGGGCATTCCCTCTGAACCTCATCTGTAAAACGGGGCTTGGGGCGTGCTGTCTACAACCATAGGTGGTGCTGGGTCTGGTGCAATAGAGAGCGCTCTGTGAGTGTAAACAGCTTTATACTCTAACACTGATGGTTTTGTCCACTCCAAGGAGTCTGCTTGTGGATGTACCCACGGGAAGAACTGAGCCATGCCAGAGATGGGGGCAGAGGATTCGGGTGGGTCTTAGGCTTTGGGCTCTGGTAAGACTCGAGAGCCACTGGCCCCAAAGGATAACTTTCTTGTCCTTCCTCCCACCAGCGGTGGTGTCTTGGGAATGGTGGGGTCAGGGGGCGTCCAGGCCCACTTGGTGGGCTTCAGAGCACTGAGATTCATCCAGGGAGGGGAGTGCACAAAAGGCCGCCCAGCGGAGTGCATCAGCAGCTAGTGGGATCTGAGACTGCGGGGCAGGGGGAGGTGTGAGTTTCAGTCTGCCTCACTGACCCGTCTGAGAAACAGGTGTATGTGATGGTGGCAGAGGTCACAGAAGTGTGGGTAATAGTCCTGCGTGTGTGCACAGAGGAGAGGGGAAGGAAGGGGGGACTGGGAGGAAGCAAGGCCTAGCGCCCCACCCCTACTGCCCATGCCCTCCCCACAGGGCAGGTGCTCAGCTACATCCTTCCAGGTGTTCCAAGTTCTGGGGAAGCACTTCTCCCCCCTCCCCCCATGCCTCCTTCACACCGTGTATGAATGCCCATGCCCCATCCTTAGTGGTTCTTTCCTTTGAAGGCTGTTTTTTTTGTTTTGTTTTGTCTTAACTGTTCTTGGATTCCCTCTACCTTTGGGCTGGGGAACCACCTTACCTGAAATGAATCCTAAGGCAGTAGGCAGAGCCCCTTGGTTGGGAGTGAAGTGGGAGTTATGGAGATAAATAAAAGGTAACGCTGCTGTAGATACTTGCTATATGCACCAATCTGATCCTTGCAACACTTTTAACAGACCCGTGTTGGAGCAACGATTGCTATTCCTAATTTTTGCCTCGCCCAATCCTCTCCTCTGATTCAAGCTGGCAGGTCATTTCCTCTCTCTGGGCCTCAGTTTCCACACTAGGAAGTGGGCCCCACCTGCTTGTAGTGGTTTCCAGAGGTCACCCACGGTGACACACGTTTACTGGAGAGGAGGGAACGTGCCTGAGCGGGCAGGGGAAGCAGAAGGAGCATGAGTCTCATCCACTCACCCTGGGTGGGGCAGGTGCTTAACTACGAGCATTAGCAACTGGTGCTTCCATTGGGTTGCTTTTTGCTGTGCCAGGCCCTTCTGAGCATGTTGCCTGCACTAACTCATCTGATTCTAACAGTGACGCTGCGACGTAGCTGGTGTCACCCCATTTTATAGATAGAGAAACAGGCCCAGAGGTTAACTGGGTTAGGAAAATCACAGTCGCCAAGCTAGGGGCTGGCCTCACAATCCTGCGGCCCTGACTAGCTCTCCTGAGCAGCCTCTGCAGAAGCCTGTGGCGGGTGGAGGTGCCAGTGGCCCAGGTGCAGGCCTCTCTGACTGCGCAGGCCTACCTCCAGGTGAGGCCCAGGGCCCGGCCAGTTTACGCAGCCAGAGCCGAGCGGTGCTTTCCAAATGTTAAAGTGTACTCAGATCACCTGATTCTTGGTAACATTCAGACTGTGTATAGACCAGTGGTTCTCAACCTGGGAATCATTTTAAAATCCTGATTTCTTGGCCTCATCCTCCGGAAATTCTGTTTCTTTGTTACTAATGTTGTGGCCGCACCCCATAACAAAGAAACAATTTCCGGAGGATGAGGCCCAGAAATCAGGCTTTTAAAAAGATTCCCACGTGATTCTAATGTGCAGCCAAGGTTGAGAACCACTGGTCTAGACGAAGAGGCAGAGTCACAGAGATGAGCTAGGTTAGGAAAAGCCTATCAGCCGAGCTAGGGGCCTGGCTTCCCAGTCCCATGAAGGAGTCTAGGGTGGGACCGAGATGCTACACTCTGACAAGCTCCCAGGTGATGCTAATCCGGATGGTCCACGGACCACACTTTAGGTAGCAAGACCCTAGGCAGCTGCCCACCTGGGTTGATTATGTCATTCCAACAAATGCTTCCTGAGCCACCGTTAGACACTGGAGGAGGTTGGAGGAGGTACAAAGCGGGGTGGGGGGAGGCCCTCACCTGTTTCCACAGGGCAAGGCTGGAAAATGCCAGGCACTCGGGAGTTCTTGGTCAGGGAGGGCACTGCTGATCACACGCCTGGTATTTTAATGATAATAACAGCTGTCATTTAAGTGTGGGTTCTGGTACCTTCCATGGTTTATCTCTCAGAATCCCCTGGACAACTTGACAAGGCAGATATTTTCTTTTTCTTCTTTTTGCTGCTTAATGCGGTTTTTATTTATGAGAATTCAGGGGAACAACACCCAAGGAGGAAAGGGGTGATGAGAAAGACTCCTCTCTGGAAGATACCGACCACCCCCCACTTGTGTAGATGTTTGGGTCCCATGGACCCGTTGCGGTCAGAGGAAAGGAACATGTCTGTGAGCAAGAGGGCTGGAAGGGACCCACCCACAGTGTCTCCCGAGGCTTTGCAAAACTGGTCGTGTGTTCTGCAAGACGCAGGAAAACACTTCACAGCGGCCCTTGCAAATAGTATGAAGGAAAGGTACCACGTCAGGCCCAAGACTGCCAAACGCAGCAGACGAGGGCAAGCCCCCTGTGAAGCCACCAAAAGGCAGAACATAGGTGAGCGCAAATCACAAGGGCACTGTGAGGGTCACCATCAAACCCAAGGCTCGAACGTTCTCTGCAGCTGTTCCATTGGTCCCATGGGGAAGGCTCCCAGTGGACGCGGTGTTACCAAAGGTGTGAACCACGGCAAAGGTCTAGTCCCTTCCTCGGCAGCCAGAGAGGAGTGCCCGGGAGTGAGCAGAGAATTCCTGTAACAAGACAGGCAACGGAGCTCTCTGTTCTGGCATTCCAGCTTAAGGAAGGTGCCC